GCTAACTTTAAGGTGCATCCACTTTCGTTGATTTTTGTTTTGTTGTTGGAATATCTGTAAGCAAAAACTCATCAACTGGTCAACGCACTCAGCTAAATGCACACCTCCTTCTTTTCTTCTTAAAATATAATGTTAAAAACATTATAGTGATACGCTGAGGGAATGGAGCTCTTTAAGTTTGTCAAGCTTCGTTTATTCACACTTGTTTAGCACGACAACTTAACACACTGAATATATTCTCTTGGATAAACTTAACTGAATTACTTGCAACAAATAAACTCAATTTTTTTTAAGTTGGATTGCCTATTTTGTTTTTTTCAGTGTATTTCCAGCAAAATACTTTAATGCTCATTTTAAAAAAAAGCTTAAGGGAAATAAAAAAGATTTTAAAAATGAATCAAAGTTTAGTTTGTTAACTACTGTATCACTAAGAGATTAAAAAATAAGCGTATTGGTGCTGGGTCTGCAGTGACGTGAACACCATATCAAAACCCTTCAGTTTCTAGACATTACAGTGGCTATTGTGCTGTAAGTATCACTGCAGCCTGGGTTATAAAGGAGTTAGTTACTTACAAGCATGACATGGTCCAGTCAAAGTCCAGATGTAAAATCAACTGAGAGTTTGTGGCAAGATTTGAAATCTAAAGGTGACTTATTATGCTTTCTTGAACAGATTAGGAAAGGTTTATGGATTATACGAAACATATTCATTACATTTTTTTTTGCACAAAGTAATTCTTAGATATTGAGATTTTAGTCTGATCAGTTCTGAATATTTTGAACTGTTTTAGGGCATCTTGTCACTTTGAATCCAAAGAAGCTGCTGCTGGCCACGCCCCCAACTCAACTTTTACACTGAGAAATGAAAATGGCTGCAAACAAATGCACAGTTATAAAACCATACATATTTGAAAAGCAGAAGTGGAGCCTCCTGCACGACCAACAAGAATGTAACAAGTAATTTCTGGATGGTAAGTTTTCCAGCAGCCATTGTACAGCACTAATAGCAATAAAACCAGCTGACCAAACGTGCTGGAGTTCCGCTTGGGTTGGTAGGTAACAGGACTGGGCTCTGCTAGGGTTGCTAGGTAATGGTGCAGTTGCTAGGTAATGGTAATGTGACTCAACCATTGAGAGGGTTGCAAAGCGACTTATTTCCCAGACATTTTTGACATATTGTCAAAAAATGGCTGACTGTTTTTTTTTTATTATTGTTTTTAGAGGCAGTTGAGACCCAAATGGAAGCATAAAAAAACATGCAAAATGTGAATTTTGCATAACAGAACCCATTTAATGTTAAAACTCTCCGTCCAACCTGACAGAGGTTGAGTTATTTTTCATAAATAAATGTGCAGCACTAATGGAGATTTACCCAAAGCTGGTTCTCTATATGAAACACATTTCAGATTTTTATTTGCATTAAAAACCTGCTGTTGTTTCTGTTTGTTTGTAGCGTAACAAAATGTAGAAAAGGTCCAGAGTTATTAATACCACCTTAGCCCACTTATATTTGGTAATAATATATAATATGGGAGTCCCTTGCTTTGACGTCACTTATACAACCTTCCCCAGACCAAGCTGTTGTTGCAGATATTATTCCAATGCTTGTTTTTTTTTTTTTTTTTCACGCTCCTTTTTCTCGGCGTCCCATGGCAGAGCGGATGGGAAACTCTGATGTCATCAACCTTGGCGCAGCGGGACGGAGAAGCATGCAGACCCTCAGGGTGCCACGATTGGTGCCCATGTGTTATAGTGCCCTGTAGATGGTGAAATAGATGGTGTGGTGCTGCCCGCCTGTGCTGCACCTGCGTCCCAGCATGCTGATTGATCAGTTTGGTCATGTGGAATGTCACCATCTGCTCCCCAGTCCCACTCACCCCTTCTTGTGTGAATGCCAATCACTGGGAGGAAGATAGTTATTTAAGCCATGTCAAATCAGGCGCATGACAATCAGCAGAGTGCCAACAACACTTGGAGAGGCAACAGCATATCATGCAGTAAAAATATACAATTTTAACAGCAACAACACTGACTGAAAATGTGTTTTTTCTTGGGGATTTTATTTTAAAAAAACGTAGCCATTTCTATGCATTTTTCTTAGTTTTTTAGAACGTCTGTTTTGGTTTCTCCTCTGCATCCGACCTCCTCATGGCCAACAATGTATCAAGGGGCCATCGGGAGTGACATTCTTCATAGCAGAACGTCAGAACCAGTGACATTTCAACCACAGGAAAATAAAGATATGCAAAAATGATCTCATTAACATTTGCATTACCTGTTTGGATAATCCCTTTTCTGACAAGACTGCAATTAACTAAGATTGATGCAAAGTTCAGGGTCAGGGGACTGTATAAATTGGCTCTTGGATCAGATATGTTTGTGTTATGAATGCTTAATGTGCCAGATAAGAAGACTGATCTCTGTCAGAGGAGAAGGTCACTCAGTAGCCACCAGTTGCCAGGGATTAGTTGTAAAACAGCTAATATATTTACTGACATCAGCATTTGGATATTTTGGCTTTATTATGACGTTTTCCTTAATTAGGTAAAAAGAAAAGAAAAGCATGGTTCTTTATCAACCAACAATTGCGCTGATAAAGAAGAAGAAGTGAGTGACCTCCTAACCTAGATAGCGCTGGTTTGGATCGCCAGGATTAGACTTTGACTTTAAGGAAGCTGAGCGGACAGCAGCTCACCTGCAGACAGATTGAATCAGGAGGAAAACCACGTGTTTGTCAGCATTTGAAGTTTCTAAATATATCATTCTGGCTTTAAAGAGATTTAGGTTAGTCTTTATTTTTGGACGCCAAACACCAGCTCCTCCGCATCTTCACTCTACAAAACAAAATTCTGACCAGGGATGAAACGATTAATCAGATTAATCGTGATTAATTGATTATTGAAGTAATCATCAACTTATTCAGTAATTGATTAATCGTCAACATACTTTAAAAAAAAATCCATTAGCTGAAAGAGTTCTTGTATATCATTTTACCCACTCACACAGTGGAAAGCTACTGGATAGTAGCCACAGCTGCTCTGGGACAGTCTGACAGAAGTGAGGCTGCCACATACCAGCGCCACCAGATCCACTCAACACCTTTTAGCAGAGTTGATTCACTGTAAAACTCAGAAATTAAAGTTCATGAAGTTGATTTAACAACAAGAGACAAGTTGTCTAAACATTGTTTTTTAACTTAATTAAACTTGAATTTTGAGTTTTAACTTAATGCTACAATTTAAACCAAATAATTATTTTACAATATGCAAGAAAAAGAATCTGCCCTCACATAGTTAAAGAGCCACATTTCTCTATTATTTTACTCACAATATCAAGTTAAAATAAATACTTATTTTACTTTAGAATAATTTAAATTCTTGTTTCAAACTGCAGGAAGAAAATTTCTGATCTGATGATGAATTTTATTAAACATCCCAATGAATTCAGCTCAGAAACATTTAGTGTGATCAGGACATTATCCTCAAGCTTTGCTGACTGAGAATTGCATTAAAATGAACATTTGCCTTAATAAAACACCAGAGTCAGCTCAACGTAACGCACTTCCATCTCAGGAGACAGAAACATGCCGCTAAGCATTCTGGGAAATAATTCCCACTGCTAAATGTGGCTCAAATGTTTTACAGTGTTTACTCAAAATGTGTTTGATTTTGTAAAACAGGAGAGGTAGACCTTTAATGACCTCTGGAAACAGTTACTAATATCTTTACATTGATAGCACCACAAACAAAAAATTTTCATGCACAAATGTTTGACACCAATTTTGTTTGATTTGAAGAAATCAAATTAAACAGTATTGGTGTCAGATGTTTTTTCAGGTATGTTCTTTTTCAGGTAGACGTGTTAAGAAAGGCTTCAGGTCATACTTCTCCGAAAAAGAAAAATAAAGCAAAGCAAAAAGTGAGAAAGAATAAAAAAATATGTAATGTTTCATGAACCACTTGAATCTCTCACTGACGAAATAGTTTCAAAGACATCCTGGCAAATAATGGCGTTCTTGCATTTTTGCACTATTTTATTTTCAGTTTGAGTGTTAACAGCACATAAAAATATTTTAGTATTACAGCACTCAGCTGCATTAGAGTCTCTTTACTGAAGAGTCGGTACTGTCATTTGGAAAAGACTTTGTTTTTGTCCCAGCGGGAATCATTTGATTGGATTCTTGTGAGGTTTCTGTAAAACACCAAGCGGTGCCAGGACCGGGTGCCATACTGTAGCTCTATGCATTGAGCCAACTCCACCTTTCCAGCCCCCTCTCTCATATAAGAAGGCATGCTTAATGCAAGACACACATGAAATTGTACTTTTTGTTAATGTTGTTTGCATATGTTTTGGTTAAAAATGATACGTGTGGTGGATTTGACCTCATACGGGAAGGACGACTCTGTTTAGGAGATGCTGCAGACGGTCACCCAGACAGACCAAATAACCTCCAAACCCAGCTCTCCATGCCACACGTGCCTGCAAATTAAGACCTGGCTCTATTTGTGAATGTAGGTCAGACAAGGCTGTAGTATCTAGTGTTTACTGGAAACCTCTACCTGTCTAACAGGAGATTATCTTGGTGGCGTCATCACTGCTTGTTGGTCCAGAGGAGGGATTTCTAGCCTTGTGTGTGTTCAACTTTACACTTATGCGAGATGACATGAAAACAGGATGATATCTGAGCAATAAGGATCTCCCATCGGTACAATTTATTTTTTGGGGTTATTTATTCATAAGTTGATTGGGAATCCCCTAGTAATTTTGGTTTTCATGTGAATTTATTAATGTTTTTTATGCTTACAAAACCCAATGGCACCACAAATTCTAAAATAACGAGTTCTGTGTGTAATAATTTTCCACTTTTAAGCAGAAAAGCTCATAAATGATGTAACATTTTAAAGCAAAAGCGTCATGTCTTGGCCACCCCCTCTGTGCCGGATGAAATGGTCCAGCCCTGATTTGCATAAGTTGTCTGCGGGTTGCTGCACGACCAGCAGGGGTGGGTTAGGGGAAGGAGTGTGTGTGGACGACACACCACACACATGAGTAAAGAGGTGGACAGAGGAGCTGTGTGTGGAGAGCGCTGAGAGTCTCGTTGTGATCCAGACAGAGTTATGTACTGTGCTCATCCTGCCTCTGGGACAGCCAACAACTCACTGATGTACTGCTACAACATGAAGCCAGTGAGTATCTTCATATTTTATCCACCATAAATTAGGTTGGGCATGGTTTGTTTGTGTGTTTGCTGCATTCTCAGCTGTCCTGTTAGTTCATTTCTTGAGTTTCGCTTCGAGAATCAACATCAGATTTGAATGCATTTAGTGGAAACTTGATTAAAACATTTTATGCCAGTTGAAAGTTGTTGGAGGAATGTCAGATTTTTGGGGATGTTCTCTTCTTTAAACAGGATATTTGATAATGACTGGTGTGTGTTTTGAGGTCCAGAGGGAGAAAGCTTTGTCTTTCAGATGAGTCAGTGCTGTAATGAGATGTGAACTTGGCTTAAAGTTGTCATAAAGTTGCAACATTAGGAATTACATTTTCTTGAACCCTTTCAGCTCCAGAGTAATCCTGTTGGGATGCACCAGTCAGGTTTCTCTTTGCTGACAATGAAATTCCAGTTTTAACTGATTCAGATTATTTTCCTTCTCAGGATTAAAATATAAAACAGGTTTCATAATAGATTTTCTCCTGAATCCAGCAGAAAATGACAATAAAATTATCCCAATTTATGCATCAAAACCTCTTTCTGATTTTTACAAACTACAAAAAAGTGCAACATTGGTTGATATAATTATTTTTTATACTTTGATGCATTTAATGATCAAAAAAATCACAGATCAAATCAGAAAAAACAGAACACAACCTACCCGACATGCTATAACTTTAAATTCACTTTTACTTCTTGTTCTAGGCCGACAAATAGGCTTGTTTTTAAAATGCTTGAGTGAGACTTCCTGTTTGCTCTGTGCAATCCAGTCAAGCCTGGCAGCAGAAAAACATCTTGACATGAAGCAGATTGCCTCTATTTCTATTTGATTTAACCCCGCTACGTTGGAGCAGTCCCTGCACCGCTGCAACCATTATCAAAGGCAGCTTTGATCTCGGAGAGACTAACCACATCCAGACATCGTGGATCACAGAGGCAGAAAATTGGTTGCATGTGGCCGGAGTTGGCCACGGTGGAGCGAGGCATGGGCCTTGAATAGCAAGTTGATGTTTCACTTATCTCACATCTTGATGCTCTCTCTGTGTGTGTGTGTGTGTTTACAACGCTGCTCTTCTTGGAGAACTATATACATAACCCTGCCCCAAAAAGCTTTCTGTTAATAGAAAATAATGATTTATTGCTTTTGAATTTCTTCTTGAACTGGAGTAAAAAAAAAAAAAAAAAAGAAAAAAGAAAAAGTGCATTATCATTTTGTGATCTGATGATTGATGGCTCCTAAATCAATGCTATGCTAAAAGAGGGTGCCTTGGCGATGGCCCCTCTCCATCGGGGCCAGAGAGGGCGTGCTGGGGCGGGGGTGTGACCATTATTAACGGGTCGCCTGCTATGCTGATGGTAAGGAGGACAATTGGCTTTATCCTCTGCCATATGCTGCCCGTGGCGGCTCAGACGGGCCGAGTGTCGACAGGGGCTCTTCTGTTTGGCCAAGCCCACAATCACCATGGGACTCTTGCCAGCCAGGGTCACGGCTCTGTGCGTGCACACGCGTGTGTGCGTGGTTTGTCTAAACGTGCGAGCCTTGCGCAAGCGTACTCAAGAGAATCTCTAATAGCCTGCTTTACAGAACTTGTCGTCCGGGTAACTGACACCCCATTGATGCAGCGCAGGGAGGTTTATTTTCATTTCCTGGGGTACATCAAAGCGACGGAGGGAAGTGCAGGTGCAGCCCGAGCCTCTTGGTGGTTTTGGGCAAGGCGTGCGCCTCTCTGTGGGTTTCTGTGTCTGCGTGAGTGCAGGGCATGCTTTAATCTGAAATTTATTTGCCTTTCAGAATATTTGTTTTCCATTTTGTGTTATCTTGAGCACAAATCATCAATCGATCAGTCAGTCAAAGCGCTTTACAACATAACACAAAAACACAAAGTCACAGAAGTAGATATGCACCGACTGGAGTTTTCTGGTCAATCATCGATTAACAATTTTTAAAAAGCCTGAACTGCCAATTCCAATTTTGACCGATACCATTTTTTTTTTCTCAAAAATGTCGTTAAACATAGCCAGAAAGTTGCTAAGTTGGCAACAGTGGGATGACAATTGTTAGCTGCAAACGTGCAGACATGACCTGGTGGGCCGGTCTGTCAGTCAAACCTCTGCAGAGCAGAAGAGGACAGAGGCTGATTTTTAAACATTTGCTGAGCTAAATAAGATCAACTTCATATGTAGGTATTGGCCCATCACCAATCTCCCAGAATTAAGAAAATCAGTGCAAACCAACAAAAAACACACAGTCAACAAGCATTAGATTTTATCAAGTGCCGTCGTTCCACATCAAACTGTTGATTATTGTTTCATTTATAATGTCTCCAAACCAATTCTAAGCAGGAAGGCTTTAATCTAAATTTAAAGGAATAATGACAAATTGAAATTCAGTTTTATGTTTTTGGGGATCTGAGTCGTAGCCGGACCTGATCATGATTAGCGCAGGGATTTCTCCTGGTGAACGGTTCCCAAATCCGGATGAGGAGGTGCATGGATCTGCAGATTATGGATTACCACCATGGCTCCAAGTGTGCATCCGCACTCTGTTTTGTTTTCATTGCATTGTTACTTCAGATTGCTCCCATGCAAGCTACAAATTCACTGTGATTAAATTGAGAACTCACTGTCTGACAACGTAAAGGAGAAATATGAGAACACATGAAAAACAAAAATGGCATTTTGAAGACTTTGGGATTCCAGAGAACCAGGGTCAGAGTTTTATCCACAAATGTAGAAAACATGTATGTGACCTTGCATGAGATCTGATCCCAAAGAGGCCAGAATAATATTTTTTATTTAACCAAGTAAGTTAAATAAAAGTTTTCATAAACAAGCTGTTCAGAAAACATTACAGCATCATACAACTTAAAAACAAACAGCAGAAAACAACAGAATATCATAAAACAGAAGTAAAAAAAAACTGCAGGCATATTCATCTGCAGACCTTATGCTCACTTTTTGTTTGCTTTTTGTGATGGTGTTGTGATTTGGCTCTATAAATTTAACCAAATTGCTAATGATTGAGCTTCCAGGACCAAAAATCACACAAATATCCAGGAATCCTGAAGGAAAATGTCTGGATATCTGTGACACTGAGATCAAGTGTATTTTAATTATGCATAATGATCCAAAGCACACCTGCAAATCCACATCTAAAATAATCCAAACGAAACTCTGACTAAGATGATGTGGCGTGACTTTAAACATGTAAATGTGAGAAAAAAATAATATAAGATTTTTTCTGCATTAATGTGTTAATTTTGTCCACATGCTAACTGGAATTAGCTTGACAGCCCAACTTCCTGCACCAGAAAGTAGGAAAATTATCAGTTCATAAGGTGGTTTTAATTGTTTTTTTCAGGTTTATGGGCAGCCTCCCAGCTCTGATGGCAACTCAACTTCACACTCATCAAGCAAAGTCCCCAGCAATGTGTTTGCAAGCACCTTCTTTGGTGAGTTCAAGCCCAGCAAAACCTCAAAACACTCATTATCCAACAATAACAATCAAATGCTTCTTGAAGTATCATGCTTCTTGTAGCTTTTGTAGCAGGTCATAACATATGACCACCATTGATCCTCTTGTCCAACCTCCTTGTTTACTTTTACATAGAATTAGATATAAAAAGATGAGAAGATGAGGCTAATTTGCCACAATGGATGCAAGATAAATATGAGGAAAGTAAATTCGTTATTAAATATTAAAAACTAATCAGTAAATGATACTTTATTGATACCACACCATTTCAAAAACAAGAAATCTTACAAAGTATGTTTGTCTTGTCTGTCTCGTTCAGTGAAAATATCATAATACACTTGAAATAAGACAAAACTTACTTACAAATAATTTTTCCAGCAAGATATAGGAGCTTGTTTCAAGTCAATAAAATGCTAATATTTTTTTCACTCAAAACATGGGAGACATGTCTTGTTATAAGTGAAATACCTCCCAGTTTTTAATCAATATTAAGGAATTAATAACTTTGAAAACGCTTCAATATATTGCTGAGAAATTACTTTTAAATTCAAGTGTATTAAAAGATTGGCGAGATTTTGTGTTTTTGCAATGTGTGAGACAAAAATGGTCAAAAAGAAGCTGACGCACACAAAAAGCATAATTAAAATGAAAAAGAACAACAAAAGAAAAAAATAACAAAAACAGGGATCAAATAAAATAAACTGGGAACTGGTGAACAATGAACATAGAAAAGAAAACACTTAAAACCTAATAGCAAGGGAAGATTTAAATGTTTGTGACAAAAAGTACTACAATCAGGTCAGAATATGGAACTGACTAAAATTGTTCAATAAATAAAAGACAAATAGAAAACTAAAACAAATAATAAATGAGTTTAGTTATTACGCTGCACTGTATGAGTATGTTTTCCTTTGTTGCTATTAATATCATCGACCATGAATACATTATTCACCCCGGTGTAAAAGAGATATATGAAATGAGCAGCATAGCTACCAAACATGCCCTGTGCTGTTTAATTGAGACAGTAAAACTTAGTTATTGCATGTAATTTCTTTGCACCGGGGTCCAGTCTTCTGCTTTATAACTTGACTGGCAGTTCAAGACACCTCAGCAGTTCAGGCGATAAAACATGATTCTTTATTTTAGAGGGGATGAGCAATTCTCCGGACATCTGGAGCGCCGTAAACGGGCTGAACCAGCAGGGCTATGAAGGTGCGCTGGGGGCCTCGGCGGGCCACCAAGCACAGCTGGGGAGCTACAGCAGCCTGCAGCCGGCCCACGGTAACCTGGTGAGTTTTCCTTCATCAGCCCTGGTGAATGTTGATATAAAAACTCTTGTTTTTAAAACGCGTTTGCTTTCTGCTCAGGATTTCTCTCCTCATTCGGTGCTGGCGGCTGAAATGAACAGAGGTTTACCGCCGATGTCCACCTTTCACCGCAACAACACGGCGTCCCGCTCTCCCTCTGACAGCCACTCCGAGAATCCAGCAGGTGAGGAAAATAAAAAGAATAAGAGCTTACTTTTACTTTTTGTTGCATGCTGCAATATATATATATATATATATATATATATATATATATATATATATATATATATATATATGTATATGTGTGTGTGTGTGTATTCTAGTGCAAATGTCTTGGTACACTTGAAATAAGAAAAGCTAACTTAGAAATTTAGGAGATTTGGCTGGAAAAAACTATATATCACGTGTGCACACGTGCACACAAGATATTGACCCTTTGAAACTACGTCACTTATAGGCGCCATGATGGACGTGGGACGTGAGAATTGGGAGTGACTGAAGTTATTTTCCAAAGTTGTTTTTGCCAGTGTATTCATGGCTTCTACTTTTTCGAGTCAAGCTAATTTATCTGAACGTAACACACCTGGTTGGGGCTCTAATATTTTCTAATACGACGGTATTTACAAAAGTTGGATACAGCTAGCTTAGAAACCGACCCATTCCTCTTCCCTCCTGACTTGTTGATCAAATTACCGACTTTGTCTGAATTCACACCACATGATTTATCACTATGTCATAAACGGCGTTTCCCTTTACACTGGAGAAGCATTAAAAACGAACAAAAGCCGAGACACTAACCAGTTTTTTCCATACATGCTAGGCTACATGACGGTGCGACAGTGTTTCCATGGTTACCAACGGTTAGACGCGAACTTTCTCCATAATGCGATGTTTGATATCTTTCTAATCACACTTATTTATAAAGTATATGGACGTTAGTCTTCTTGCCTTGTAAAAGGCGTTCGCTACAAATCCGCCATTACACCGAGGGTTAACCGTCACGGCTGCTCTCCATTTCCCATCTTTTCCCACTAAAAGTTATGACTTTTGGTTTCTATTATTCTCTGCTAGTGCAGCCGACCGCCCAGCACCCTACTACCATTTTAAAGTCAAATCAACTTAATAAAGCGATATTAGGTTATCACATGTGCGTTTTTTTGACAGGCTTTACAACAGGAACGCATTGGTTGATTTTCACGTGACATGGCGCAGTGGCGGTCAGAGTGACGTCACTTTCAAAGGGTCAAGGGTCAATTATTGACTCAATTTGAGTCAATATTGATTAAAAAAAATCACCTCAAACATGGGGAAAATATTTTGTTATTAATTTAAAAATCTGCTAGTTTTTATTAGTATTAAAGATTTTTTAACTTCATAAAAGCACATAAAGTGCAAATTTTAATTATTTTATATTTTATATTTATTATATATATATATATATATATATATATATATATATATATTCCTGTTAAGGTTTAAACATTCTTATGTTTGAAACAGATAGTTTTTTGTGTGTATATTTACATGTTCTTTGGGTTTTTTTTTTTGTTTGTTGTTGTTTTCGTTTTTTTAATTGATTTATTTGAAGTAAAGAAAACACATATTTCTATATATTGACATAATGTCACAATAAACGTGTTTAGTCTCAGGAAGCCAAGTGAATGTGTCAGGAGCGTCACAGACAGGCGACACCCTGGGAAAAGCTTTGGCCTCTGTAAGTACGAACCACCTCACTCTCATTAAAGCTACTTATCTGTGCTCTGTAATGTTCAAACAGGTCAGGTCAGAGTATAAAACCAAACCTTGGGGTCCCACACCTATAATTCATAACTTCCTGTGGGGCGACAGAAGAGCGCCATGCATTAAAGGAGGGTTACAGTCGTGTATCGGGACGTTTTATTGGCAGCAGTGCGGTAAAATGACAGGAATGGATGAGTTTAGTTCAGGTTACGAGGAAGCTCCAGGGGATGTGGCAGCAGCTGTTAAAGCTTACACAGAAATGACAAGTTGTGCTTTTAAAATGATCCATGCTCTGGTTCCTCTGCTGCTCCTTCTCTCTGTCAGATTTATTCCCCCGATCACACGAGCAGCAGCTTCCCCTCCAGCTCCTCCACACCAGTGAGATCTCCTTCCCCGCTCCCAAACGCAGCCGAATCTACAGGTAGGAAAGAAAAATAATCATTATTTATTAGAGTTTTGCGTTTTCGTACAGAATATCATAATTTTTCTTATGGTTTTCTTTCTTTTTAGGGAACAACTTGTGGCCCCGCAGTTCAGTTCAGCCACCGGTGTCACCACACTTTGAGTCCTCACTTATATCTCTGGTAAAGATCTGGATCTTTTTTTATTAATTCTCTGTGTCACATTGCAAATTTTACAAAGCATTTTTGGTCTTGTTTCTAGTGCAAATAATAAAAACCTAACTTATGAGATATAAGATCTTGTTCTAAGTCAATAATTCTTGAATATTGATAAAAAAGTTAGTAGTTACATCGGCAGTTTATTGTAACAAACTCTTTATTTTCTCTTTTAAAAATAGGAACCTAATTGTTTATTAGATTCTAATAATGTATATAAAGGCTTAAGTGATTAAATAAAAAAATCTACAGAATGTGAAATTTAGTAGAACAGATAATACTAAAATAAATACTACATTTTTGGAAAAAAGCTAAAAATTGTATTGCCCAAAACATGAAAAATAAATTTGATATCTGGAGCATAAACTACAAATGAAGAGTCCACTGCACTGAACAAGTTTAAAACCTCCTGGTTATTCCACCAAATATTGATTTCTGAGTTAAAACATCAGTATTGCTGTTCCTAAATGAATATAAACTTGTTTTCTTTGCTTTATTTGAGGTCTGAAAGCACTGCATCTTTTTAGTTATTTTGACAATTTCTAATTTTCTGCGAATAAATACTAAATTTTTGCTTGAAAGTTCAGAGACACGTTGTCAGTATTTCATAGAATAAAACAACAATCTTCATTTTAACATACCTATAAAGAGTAAAACTGATCATTTTAAGCGGTCTCTGAATTTTTCCCAGAGTTTATATTAAACTGAAGGTTTCCGTGTCTGTTGATGGTTTTAGTCTCAGGTGGAGGACCGGCTGGACAGATTGGACGACGTCATCCACGTCCTGAGGAACCACGCCGTGGGCCCCACTTCCTGTCTGCCCAGCGACATCCACAGCTTACTGGGCCAGTCCCACCACAGCCACCCAGCCAGCGCTGCACCGCTCACCTGTCACACTCCAGCAATGGTTAACAAACATTACTTCAAAGTATCAAAATGGTGTAAAAATGTTGTTTTGTGTGTAATTCTGCATTGTTCAGCCCGTCGTCTTTCAGCAGATGATGGGATTTTACTCCAGCTGGAATGAAAGTCTAGCATGTTCACGGGGAAAGGATATTTAGTCTAATCCTTTGGGGGAGGGCATATTAAATTCTCCCACTATCCTTTTTTTTAATGATGTGTCAGATAGAAGTGGATCATCCTGAAGAGAATTGGGGGGAATTTAAATGTTGTGCAGTAGTTTTAGGAGGAGGATTATGCTTGTCTGGAATTGAATTATTTGTGGAGCAGAGGATCTGTTTGGGCTTTTCGGTAACACTTTATTTGAAGGGGTGTGCATCAGACTGGCATGACGTAAACATGAAGGAATCTTCATGAACGTCTACAGCTGTTAATCATGTAGTGTCATTCAGTAAATAAGGACACTTTTAATGCAAAGTTGCACTGAAACCTGCATTAATAGTCCAGTAAAAGTGTAAACCTTGCTTTATTCAGTCAATAATGACATAATAAAAGCAAATTTCCATTAAAACTTGCATTGAAATTGTCAACTTTGCATTATTTGATTAATAATGACATTTTTAATGCAGTTTGATTAAAATTTGCAATAAAAGTCAATTAAAAGCATAAACTTTCAATTTTCCAGTCAATAATGACACTTTTAATGCAAATTATATTAATACTTACATTAAAAGTCTATTTAAAGAGCAGACTTTGCATTATTCAGTCAATAATGACATTTTTAAAGAAATTTCCATTATAAAACTTGAGTTTAAAAGTGTAAACTTTGCATTATTTGGTTAACAATGACACTATAAAATCAAATTTTCTTTAAAAACGGCAATAAAAGTCCATTAAAAGTGTAAACTTTGCATTATTTGATCAACAATGACACTATAAAATCTAATTTTCTTTAAAAATGTTAAGAAAAGTCCATTAAAATTTTAAACTTTGCATTATTCAGTCAATAACGACTCTATAAATTCGCAGCCATATTTAACGCTGCGGCAAATAGTCTACTTTTGGTTTCATTCGACTAGATCACGTCCCAAACATCATTCATTTCCTTCCACTTCCTAACTACACAGTAGTTTATCACTAGAAAAACACAAAATCTTACAAAGTATTTTTACTCTAGTTTTGAGTACAAATATCTTAGTGCGCTTGAAATGAGACAAAACTAACTTACAAGTAATTTTTCACCAAGAAACAGGAGCTTGTTGTTAATGTCTTGTTTAACTGACAGTTGTAAATAGTATTTTTTTATTAATTTTAATAAAAAAAACTGTAATGAAATACTCTGTAGCTTAGCTAACATGACAAAATGCATTGAAAAAGTTCAATGCAAAGTAGTGTTTGTGTCTCAAAAGAAAAACTGTTGAAGTTCATCATTTACAGAGGGAATCTGACTCATGTCTGACTCGTCTTGCTCTTTGTGGCTCCTGAAGGTCGAAGGCGTCTCCATGAACAACAATCACTCAGCCTTCCAGAGCCGAACACAAAATGGCCACCCGTATCCGCCCAGACAGAGGAACACATTCTTACAAGGTGCAGGAGGAGGAGGTAGTTATTCCCCTCCTCTTACCAGCGTTTTTCTCGTTTTTTATTAATATTGTTTTATTGCAATATATGTTATATGATTTTGCACAGGCGGCGGCTTGGGTGTTCAGAGTAACCTGGAGTTAAAGATGGAAACCAGGGAAGGGGAGGAGATGATGCACACCAACCACGACCACGGCTCAGGCAGCCCGAGGTCCGACGAGGAGAGTGAACACAAAACACACGGAGAGAACAGCGCGCAGAACAGGTAACAGCTGAGAGTAAAATAAATTTATTATCATGCATTAAAAACAATCATCCAGTCTATTATATTTGCACCGACAGTTAGACCACATGCTGGAGGGCAGGAGAGTCTAAACTTTTTGTCATAAACTACAAAAACAAAAAATCTTCCCAAGTAATTTTTATACTTTTTAACTGAAATAAGACTAAACTAACTTACAAGTAACTTTTCAGTAAGATATAGGAGCTTGTTTTAAGTATATAATTCATTAATATTGATGAAAAAGTACTAGTTAGAAATGATGATAAACTTAAAAAGTAAAAAATAAAGTCAGGATTAGTAGGAGTGCCAATAATTGAGTCTTCTAATATTTTTTTAAATGGGATTTTTTTCTCCAACTAAAGTCAAAGTCAAGATTAGATTTTTTTAAATAAAATCTCCAGTTTGAGATGCTGCTGCTGCAATAAGAGATTAGTTCATTTTAAAGGTTTTTACACACTGTTAGGTGTTTTACTTTATAAGAGGTGCAAGCAAATTCAGTTTTTTAATTTTTATGTTAAATACAAAAATGACAGAGGTTCTCTTAAAATAAATTAAAACAGCAAATATTCTTTTATTGTTCACACCAAACATCTGTTTTCTGTTTTCAAGCAGAATAGACAATAAGGAATAACAAACATTCAAATTATATTTTTAATAGATGTCTAGTGGTTGTTGAATTAGCATAAGCTTGTTTAAAATGTATTTAATCAAAAAAAATAAAACCATGTTATCAAAGTGACCAGAAGAGGGCAGAGAAAACCAAATAATAACTGAACACTGTCGTCTCTTTTCACCTTTTGTATTTTTGTTTAACCTGCAAACATTTCCCTTCTCACATGCGTGCCGTATGGTTTTTCGTTGCAGCATCCACGAGGACGAGGACCTGAGCCCAGAGCAGAAGGCCGAGCGCGAGCGAGAGCGCAGGATGGCCAACAACGCCAGAGAGCGTCTGCGTGTGCGGGACATCAACGAGGCCTTCAAGGAGCTGGGCCACATGTGTCAGCTGCACCTGAAGAGCGAGAAGCCGCAGACCAAACTGCTGGTTCTGCACCAGGCCGTGGCTGTGATCCTGAGTCTGGAGCAGCAGGTCAGAGGTCAGTGCAACAGCGGAGCAGGAATGTACTGTAAGTGATTGGGGGATGTCTAAGAGACCAGACAGAAATGGTCTTAAAGCCTACATAAAGTATATTACTTCATTTTTTTTAAATTATAACAGACGTTGAATTAAATCTTTACACAGTCAGAAAAAGGTGGTTTACAGATATTGTAGTGCACTTGATTGATTTTGTTCTATCATGCAGTGCCATAGTTTTATTAAGTTTCCTGAAATTATTTTTAAGCGTTATTATATAGGTGCAACATCACAGCTTCTTTTTAAAGAACTATTTTTATACACGGTTTATCGTTTTTAGTTATTTTACATTTTAGATTGTTTTTCATTGTGAGTTGTAAACTGCAATTTGCTATTTTGCCCTTTGCTGCTGTGATGCATGTATTTCCCCTTGGCTAGCATGATTTGCCCTCTATCTAGCTAGCTATGTAGCTATCTAGCTATCTACCTAGCTACCTAGGTAGCTAGATATCTCTATCAATCTAGCTATCAATCTATCTAGCTACATAGCTACATAGCTAGCCAGCTAAGTAGCTAGCTAGATGTCTGTCTGAAAAGAGTTTAATTGGACTTTTTGACTTCGATAACTTTTGACAACTTTAGGTTCTAAACTGTGAAACCTGAGTTCAGTATCTCCATTTTTACATTTACTGTTTTTGTATCTGTTCTGCAGAGAGAAACCTGAACCCGAAGGCTGCATGTCTGCGGAGAAGAGAAGAAGAGAAGGCCTCCAGCATCATGTCGGATCCACAGTCTGTACATCTCGCTTTCCATCCGAGCCTGACGGACCCGTCAAACCCCATGGGTCACCTCTGAGCACCTGATACAGACAACTCAAAGTCTCACTTAAAGCATTTCATTCATTTACATCAACGATCAGTTTAAATCACTCTACAAACTGATGCAACGACTTTCAAAAGTGTTCCTACCCCTTGAACTTTTTACACATTTTGTCACATTACATCCACGGGCTGCAATGGGTTTTGTTGAAGTTTTATTGTAGTTGTGATTTGGAGGGAAGATGACATAGTTTTAAATATTTTATACAGATAAAAATTAGTATTCAGCCCCCGATGGTCAATAAGATCTTTTGGGCACAACAAAAGACTAAAATTTTTGCCCATTCTTCTTTGCAAAATAGTTCAAGGAAATTGGGGCCTAACAATGTTAATGTTTGTCACTGTAACATGACAAAATGTAGAGGATTTTCAGGGAGGATGAACATTTTTGCAAGGCACTGTACATGCACGATATTTGATCAACAGCCAACACTTTGGGATAAACTTTCACAATACAGTTAAATGATTTGTAATTGCTGCGTTTTGGACGAATCAGTTCAAATTCGTCCAGAGCGGCTTCCTGATCAGAAAGTGTGATGCAATCGAACAATCATTTCTCCTCTTCCCAAACAGATTTTTATAACTTTGTGCCTAAACACGACTCGCATCAGACAAATGCATTGTAAGCTGCAGGTGTTTTGTACATATTTTGTAGTTTTATTTGTGTTGCAGTACATCAGAATGGACTGGAGAGTTTCGTGTGCAGTCTAAAATTGGCAAACAGGTTTGTTAGTCATATTTTCACAAAGCTCATTGGGCAGACTTTGTCACGTTTTGTTTTTAGGCAACATATTTCATTTTTCCTGTGGGCTCGGTGTGAATGTGTGTGTGAGAGAGTGTGTGTGTAAATACTGCAGGGGTTTGAACATTCTGTGAATGAACAGATCTCCAGGAATGTTCTTTTTAATCTCACATGGACATCCATCCTGGTCTGTAATTGTGTTTTTATATTTCTTTAATGCACTGCTAACAGGATTTTAGTTTCTGTATCTCCGGTGGACATAATCCTCCTCCTTGTAATTATTGCTCCGCAGATGTAGTCAAACAAACCCTGTGCATGTTTAAGTTTTGAACTTAAAACACATATTTTTAAGTTATAAGTTATCTTTTATACAAATATTGTGAACTTATTCATATGTCTTGATGTGCTTTTAACTATTATTTTAATCATAAAGCCTGTTATTTTGTGCAGTTTACTAGCTGTACCTAAATTTAATGCTCTGACCAATACAGTGTTTAAAAACAAACAATGTTCACTCACCGCATTGTTGAACATAAAGAAACACCAAAATAATCTGAAACACTTATAACATGTGCAGTATGTGTACAGTTTGAGTTCCAGGCATGTGTTGATATGAAAATGTAGCAATAAATGTCTTTCTAAAAATGCTTTTCCTCTCTTATGTTCCAGTATTTTAAGTTTGAACACATAATACAGTCATCTGCATAGAGTATGATATGAAGTTACTTAGAATCCATAAAGTCATTTTCAAAACAGAAATGTTGTGAAGGAAGTTACTCAACACACATTTTGCAAAGAAAAATGCTTTATTCAAAGCTTGATATCTTGTTTTTATCAACCTCAGAGGCTTGATGAAGATAAACGTAAAGAAATTAGACAGAAAATAAAGTGATTAGTGATGCTAATAAATGATTCTTTATGAACACGTGATACATGGAGAATCTCTTTTACTATAACAATAACTGATGTTAATTAGAAATAACAGTTAATATATTAAAAATTGATGTGTTGACGACTTAATAATTTCATAATCTTTTCATTGTGCACTGTAAAACATTTGAGCTGCATTTAGTTGTGTCTACTGTCTTCAACTCTTTAAGTCAAATACATTTATCCAGTTTTAGATTTTGAACCTAAATGTGAGTTTGTGAAAGATAAACTTACAGCAGTAAGTTGTGTTAACTTTTTATTAATTTAGTAAAACCTCAAAGAGTTGAATAGTTTTTAAGTTAACACTTGAGGATAATGTCCTGTTCACACTACATGTCTGAGATTAATTCATTGTGATGTTTAATAAAATTCATCATCAGATCAGAAATATTGTTCATGCAGTTTGAAACAAGAAATGTTATTATTTTAAAGTAAAATAAGTGTTTTAACTTGATATTGTGAGTGAATAATAGAGAAATGTGGCTCTTTAACTAGGTGAGGACAGTTTTGTGAAATAATTATTTGGTTTAAATTGCAGCATTAAGCTAAAACTCACAATTCAAGATTAATAAACTTTAAAAGCAATGTTTGGACAACTTGTCTCTTGTTGTTAAATCAACTTCAGAACTTTAATTTCTGAGTTTAAACCAAAACAGTTTTCTTTGTGACTTAAATTGCATTTTCAAGGCAGCAGATGGACTTTCATTTTCAACTTAAACCACCTTCAAATGTTCCACAGTGCATAAAATATTAATAGAAATAACAGTGATTTCAACAAACCTGTTAATAATAATAATAATAATAATGCAAAAATATGTTATTATTAAAAATAAAGCCTCATCATTCATCATAGAGTGGAGCATTAAGTAGGTAAAACAACAAAATTCAACAATAAATTCACAAGGTAACAGGAAAGCAAGATTAGGGCTACTGAAAAAAAAACAACAACTTCTGACTTTAATCTCAGAAATCTTAGAAAAATTCAGAGATTAAAATCAGAATTCAGAGATTAAAATCAGAAATCTATTTCTCCTAGTGGCCCTAATCCTCTTCCGTAGATGTGAGCACAATTCACGAGGGATGTTGGGTTTTTCAAAATAAAGCAAGACGGAAAAAAGTCATGTCAACACATCTGGATAAAACATGATTGGGAGGAAATCCAAAACAACAACTGCCAAAAAAAAAGTTAACTATGAAAGATAATAATAAGAAAAGTATTGAATATTAATCCGGAAATAAGCCTCTTTTTTTTAAAAAATATAACTATTACAAACGTTCAGCTGTGTTTTCACCATCATGTCAGCGCACTTATGCGGACAGCTGCCGCTCACTCTGCGGGTTTCTGTTGCGTTTTTACGTCAGCCCGCCCGAGCAGCAGCGGTCATATGATGAGCAGCCGCGCGGAGTGACCGCCTCTCTGAGCGGGACTCCGGGATCCAGTCCGGGCGGAGGCAGAGCAGCCGGATCGCTTCGAGGAGGAGGAGGCGGAGGAGGAAGACCTACCGCTCCTAAAACCGGACACACACACGCACGCACACACACACACGGTAAGTTTCTGATCGACTTTAAGATCTCACACTGTTTTATCCCGTTACTTTACGCAGCAGCTCGTTTAAGTTAAAGTTTGAAGTGTGAAAGTTTAGTCTGTGCAGAACCAGAACCTCACACGCCTTATGGATGATTTCCTTTCACATGCTCCCTGTTGCCAAAATGTCCACCAACAAGAAAATAATGTGACAAAAAAGACTTAAATTTACGATTAAGATATATATTTTCTTCACCAGTGGGTCATCAAACTACTTTAAGATGTCAGTTTGAAGGCTTTAAATGATAATGTTATTACAGAGATCCTTTGTTTGCCGTTAGCGCACAAATTTTACCCTAACCGTAACCCTTAACCTTACAGAGATCAAAATATGTTGTATTTCTCTTAATCTCATCACTTTTAGTCTGCAAATGTGTATTTTAATACCATTTTTTTTTAGTTTATTAAAAATAAGATCAAGTTTATTCTCTGTCAGTGAAACTTTTCCGTGTTTTCTGTGTTTTGGGTGAAGTAGTTAAATGACAAAAAGAGAAAACTGAACTGGTTAAAATCATAATGTCCAGGTCAGATGCAAAAGAAACAAAAACGGGTGTTGTGAAAAAATCTTATCCGTTCCTCTTTATTTATAAGCAAAGACACTTGGATGACTTTATGATCAAATGTGCAATCTATGCACTGAAAGCATCTCAAAGTTGACAAGTCAGTTCAAAAATATTTTATTTATTCTTCAGAAAAATGAAATGACACCAATCTTTTCCCCTCCACTTCACATCGCATGATTGTAAAACGTTTGTCGTTTGTTACCAACACAGACGTGTTTTGAGAAGCTCAGCTACACAAAACAATGAAATAACAAAAATAAGGTGAAGCCAGGCAACAAAACCTCAGTTTACAATCAACAGTTTCTTATTGTTCCTCTTGGTTTTTGAGATAATTATTATTTTCATCTGCAGAGAACTCAACAGTCTAATGATGGATGTAAAATCAAAAAGTTTTCCAGGTTTACATTAAATCTCAAGGGAGCAAATAACCATTTTACCTCGAAACTGTATGAAGGTTTATTTCAAATCTGTGTGTGATACTTTTTGCTGTTACTTTTACTAAATTAACTAAAAAAGTTGATGCTTTGTCTGCATCATAGTTTTTATCATTTAGTTCTATTCTGCATAGCTAATATACATCACTTTCTGTGATGTATGCTTCACTTCCTGTGTGGAAAATAATCCTCTGTTCCGTTTTCAGTGATTTTAAAGTTTTATTTCTCGTGTATTTAGCTCATTTTCTTTGAGGCGTGTTTTTCCTGTTAGCTTTCATCACCAGTAATCCTTATTATGCCTGCAGACGGACGTTTCACCACCTCTATGTCTCTTTACACTCAGTTCAACGTCCTGGACTGCAAAACGTATTCATGCTCCATTTCTCACATTTTATTACTTTAAAACCTTAAAGTTTAATGTGTTTCATTGATAAACACAAAGTAGTTTATAACTGTAAGATTATAAACTACTTTGTATTTTGTTAAAAATACTTAACAAAAACAAATAAGAAAATGAGGTGTGCCTTTTTTTAGCCCCTTTTACTCTGATATCTCTAAATAAAATCATAAGTAACTAGTGGCCAACTTTGTTTTAAATAGCCTAAAAAAGGCCGTGTACTGAAAGAACAACATATTTAAAGCAGTAATAAAGTCTAAACTGTCCCACAAAATGTATATGTTTTGCATTTAAAATAAAATAAAAATTCTTTGTATGTAAATCAGATCTCAGTTTTAGCCTCACCTGATCCAAATTCAGTAAAAAAAAAAAAAAAAAAAAAAGCTCAGGAAGTCATTTATTCTCAGTGCAACAACCATTTTTAACCAAACTAAATGACATCAACCTACGGCATCAAAGTTTCATTCTATGCACAAATTGTTGATATTATGATTGTATAAATGTGTTTTATTTTATGATTAGAGAGTGAAAGTAAAATTTCCACATTGGTGAACAATAAAGTTTTAACTGAGCTTAACTTAACATACCTTATCCAATATTAGATAAGTTATACATAACATATCTTAATTTATCCTAATTTAACTTAACTCCACTTTTATAATCTTAACATAAATATCTTTTAACTTTATCTTATCCTAATTCAACTTAGCTTATCTTAATTTACCTTATATAATCTTAATGTGCTTTATCTAATCTTAGATAAGTTATACATAATATGTCTTAACTTATAATTTGACTTATCTACTCTTAAAATACACATCTTGTATTGATTTAATTTATCTTATCCTAATTCAACTTATCTATCTTATTTAAATTATACATATCTTAACTTATAATTTAAGTAAAATGATCTAATCTTAACTTATCTAACATTAACATACATATCTTTATCTTAATTTATTTTATACTAATTTAACTTAGCTTAGCCTAACTGAACTTACCTTATCGAATCTTAACATACATATATTATCTTATATTACCTTAACTCATATCCTATTTTATCTTTACTTATATAAATGTGTTTTGTGTATTTTAGGATTGTCTCTGACTAGTTGCCAAGGAGAAATTTATCTTAACATAGTTTTTCCACTTAATCTTCCTCCCTTAAGCTGCTTTTAGGTCTTCCTTTAGCCGTGGATTGTGCAGAATGAGGCTCTTGAGACGATCCAATATTGTTTGCAGCACAACGCCTCCTCTGTTCGAGTGTTTCTGCCTCATAGAGGCGCATTTATAGACAAACATACTCCTCAAGCGTTATCCCATGAAGTGGGTGACGACACCCGTCGCAGTCGTCATGCAGCCGGTTCATCTGGACCTGTACAATAGTCGCCCTGTCATTAGCGCACACAGAAGGGGGCTGTTTTCATTGCGCAGCAATATTATCCTCTCAGTGCACATTCATTCTGCCGGGTGCAGCTGGAGAGGAGCGCCCAGCATGTCTGCCACTGTGCACACCAGGGCTGTTTTGTAAACAGCTTGCTTCGCTGTACCAGCCTGATGCATCAGTTTTCAAACCGCTCTCCCATGCAATGCCAGTCTCTGTCTAACATGCGGCGTTATTCCAGCAGGTTAGGCAGCGGCAAGATGGAGTCTCACAGACTCGGCGGCTCCACGGAGGTCCAGACGCAGAGGGGCTACATGCTGCAGCACCGCCCTGCAGCAGCCGACAGCCAGGACA